TAACTTCCTTCTCTTTAACTTTCTGTTTATTCTCTAACCTACTCTAAGTATATTTTTTCACAAACTGTCAAAATTTACATGCGAGGTGAGGCACGACTCTAGCTATCTATGTATAATCACTTTCTACGAAACTAAAAGAAAAGTGAAGCACACCGCGTTTCGAGAAAACCAATCGGCATCGCGGAAAAGAGGCCTCAACTGTTCGATATTAACGACATTCACGCCGATAACATCTCTTTTTTTAGAAAGGGCTCATTATATATTGACTCCTCGGGTTGGCGTATTTTTAAAGAAACTATAAGGGATTGTATTTTTCTCGGTACGCCGGAACTGTTGACTTGGTTCGCATAACATTTTTGCACGCGCGCGTTCTACATTTTATTATCGTATTTCTCTTGTCAGATATTTGTACATATCGAAAGTTTTAATTATTTGTTACTCTATTGTTGCAAACAATTAAAAAATAAAATTGAATGGTTGACGAGATCGATAATAGAAATCAAATCAGAATAAATTGAAATTCATACCAAAGCTTGAGATTGAAACGTCCCAATTTCACTGCAAATTTCGACTGATCCCTTACTTTGTTTCGAGTCAAGACTTGACACCAACACAACTCATGCCTCAACGGTTTCAAGTTAAGTCGATCCCCGTTCAAATCGTTAAGACAAAAACATAATTAAACATAAATTAAAATCAAGAAAGGAAAGAAGTGGCATAATTAATTTGTCGTGTCGTCGTTCTGTTGACAAATTAAATTTCACGAATTCGGGCTCCACGTGTCTCCATATTTGGCAATTGCTATTAGTTCATTATACATGTCGTTCGCGGAAATCCCGTGGTGTGAAAAGACACCAAATATTAATGTTACGCGGTAAACCAGGCACATCGCCGTCAATGTTCACGCATACAGTTCGGATAGTTACGAACAAGCGACCCGTGCCACCCGGAAAGTTCGGGGTATCCACCGCATCACGCGTCAATGTTATCGCAAGGTTGGCGCACGAAAATGTTAATTTCGCCGCGATTCGTCGACGAGATTAATCGGGATTAATCGATTATATATTCGTCCTATTGGCTCAAGCTGGCCGAAAATGTCCGCATTGCAAATAAATTGCACCGCCGATTTTTCCAAATTAATATCCATTCGACTCAACTTTACAAAATAATTGTAATTCGCGTAATATGTTATTATTGATTATTATTCATATATTATTTAAAAAACGTAGACCAATTGTTTATATATTTGATATTGTACTACCGAAACGTTCAATCTGTATTGTTACCAATCTTATAATATATTTTACACTAGAACGTACTGATATATAATTTATCGCCTTGATTCAGGTGACGGCTCGCATTGTCCCATACTAATCTTTTACTATTTCAACTATTAACACCAATTTAAATTTTAATGTCGTTATTATTGACTTGTGCTTTTCACTGATCTGCGTAGTAAATTTGATCAAACGTGTCGTGCCATTTATCGCAGTTTATATATTTAAAATGATATATTATACTTTGCATTGAGATCGCAAAGCGCACATTTAATCGCTACGAAAAATCGCGCACGTTGAAGAGTCCGATGGAAGATCAATAGAAAATGTATAGCGAACAAACATTTGCGTGTGATCCCCAATTCTGCGGCTAAATTTAATTCCCTGCTTTAAAGCGTGTCGGAGTTGCAAATGGATTACAAGGATTACGCTATTTCGCGTTGAATATTTAATAAATTACCTTGCAGAGTGTACACCGCTCGCTATTTAACTAAGCGTTACCTTTGGTTCGGTTAAACACAGCCAAATTTCGCAGAATATAGTCATGTCCAGTTGCATACCGGCATAATATTCTATCTGGCAAATATAGCGACGCGTAAATGAAGAGAGACTTCGGCTCCGTGCTAATATTCAACATGGCCCACGCATAAAGGCTGTGTCCACGCCCGAAGGAAGCGCATTTCCGGCGACCAGCGGTGTCGGCGCTCCGTCGTTTGTGGACGTTCCGTCGATGTGAACAGAAAATTGACAGTCATCAAAGCAGTCGTGTATTTATTAACGCTAATGGAACTTTCATATTTGCCTAATTAGTAATTCAGAAATTTCACAATAAATGGAAAGGCATTCACTGCTTGTTTGTAATCTTTCTCACAAATGTTTTCAACAAAAAGCTGCCAGTAGTAGTTTTTGAAAATAGAAATTCCCGTCTAGTCCCTGTTATTCGTACAAAAATTAAAATCCGTCTATCACATTTCTCGGTTAATTTTGAACGGACTTTTTGTTTGAACTGCATATTAATTTAAGGTATAAGTGCAAAAATGTAAGATATCGTGGCTTTAAAAAGAGCGATGACTCTCTCGGCATTTTTATTGAACAAGAATCGACTTCGAATTCACGTCCAAAAATTCATTGTGAAAGTTTCAGCCATTTATCTTAAGATACTCTTTATAAAAGTTGGATATCATCGACGAAGACGTTTGAGTATTTTCTTTGTGGCGCAATGACATCACTATACAATGTCAATCCTACGCCTCTTTAAATCTCCCTACGAAATTCTGAGAGAGAAGGAACGATCGTGCTTTGTATCGTATTTATGAATGATCGAATGTAATAGACAAATTTTTCAATAAAACGCGCAATTTTAATCGAACAGGACGAACGAACAAGGAGAAGAAGTTCGTTGCACCGCATGCAAATCCGCGCGTTTCAGCCTTACAACTCTCAATGAGGAAAGTTGCAAAATATTGCCTCGGCGCACGAATTGTATCCGTGAAGCAACTTCAGCGCGATCTCCCGTTCCCTTTGTCGCCTCCCATTTTAAATACATTAGCGATAGATAAATTCATTGAATACTCGCGACGAAAAGTGTCTGCGCCGCATTTACGTGCGATGAAGAAACATAAAACACGCCAACAGTTTTATGGTATTTTGCTCAATGCGATAATATATCATTTCTTTTCTATTCCAAACAGCGATTATTCACAATGATTTATTCAATCATCGATATTTACGACATTGCTCTGGCATGCAAAAATATGAGTTTGTTCTCGACGGGAATGAAAAAGAGATTATAATGTGAAAGAAAAGTTTTGTTCGCAAAAACCACGTCACTTACTACACAACGCGAAGTTAAAAATAGCGCGACATAGTGTCAAGTTGTTCTTGTCAATTTAAGAAATTAGGTCACTGTGATGAGTCGAAAAATGGACCGATTTTAAGACTCTCTCTCTTTAAATTGGAAAGAAATGTGAACTTTGGCGTATATTACATTTTATACAAAAAATGGAAAATATTAAAGTTATTGTTTTGTGAAAATGACGTTTGTAAAAACTAACGAGGTGACGGCTTTAATTCAGCTTAGATTAGTAATCTGGAATTAAAAAATCAAATTTCTTTTCTTATTCTCCACATTTATTTGTTCGCCACTCACTTAGAAAAATTTGGGATTTGTTGAAATAACAAAATAACACATTTTCAAACCCGTGGGACAAGTTTCCACAAATTATTGAAATAAAAGAAAAGGACTATATTGTCTCGTCGAAAAAATATAATGTTCTCTCGAAAAAACCGTAACAAATTATAACTAAATAATAAAGAATACAAAGAAAACTATATAAAGAATCGAGGAATACGAGTATTGAATCTCAAAGAATGTATTTGAAACGCGTTTCAATTATCTGGGTTACCGGTTTGCAAATTTTGCGGGAGAGAATTATTTATTAATTTAATTGATTTTCTAACTGCGATGTCTAATATAACGATCGCTAATAGAGGAACATGTCGTGTGATTATTATACGTTCGCTCCAAGATGGAAATCGTGGGATCGATCCTATCGCATCTGCGTTCAATCAAGAGCAGAGAAATCAATACTGCGTCGGAGAAGATGACCAGCGTGATTTCCTGATCAACGAATAAATAACAGCCGGAGAGTCCGCCACGAACTCACGTACGAACGTATTGGTTTGCGAATATAATTATAATTGTCGATTGTTCTTGTTCCAAGTTTCCGCATTAGACATGGGCGTTAAAGCATCGAACATTATAACAGACGTTATTTTTAACGGACGTCGTTACCCCAGTTATACGAACGTTGATCTATTGAAAACTCGCACAATAGACAAGACGGATGAAATGCGGTTTTCGTACGTATTGTATTGGAGGTCCAAAAAAAAGCAGGAATAAAAAAAACGGTGGATACATCCAACTAACAACGCGAAATGTTGCACGGTGCAATTTGTTCGCCCTCGTCCTTCGTTAAAAAGGGATGTTTTGTAATTCTGTTATATTAATAATTCGACGTCCAAGAGTTTCCTAAGTTTTTTAGGAGGGATGATTCGATTGGTAGTAGAGGAAAACCCCCTATTAATGAGACAGACTTCTAATATGAGATAGCAGGTTTTCGACGTCCAAATTCAATCGCGAATCTCTTTTCGCAACGATTGCACGATTTAACGATGAATTTTCCGCTAAACAGATTCCAACGGACGATGCCTATTAATTTAGCAGAAACCCCGCTATCTCATATTGCGAGCTTATCGCATAATAGGCGACTTTCCTCTAGTATTCTGGGCCCGCAACTACAAGTATATAATTGTTGCCGAAATGTTTTAGCACGTGCTAAATTTAACGCGTGTGACTGCATGCGATTGTTTGTATTTATCTTGAATAGTTATTTCGATTACAAACAAGAATATTATACATCGCGAATGATCAACATTTCGGGCGCAACGTACATTTCGAGAGCTCACCCGGAATTGTGGCAGCGATGACGTATACCGCTCTAGAAAAGCACGCTCGCAGATTCAGCGGCGGCTGAGACGATAACGTATATGCTGCGAACTGCATCAACATCGAGAAGAGCCTCTGATAATAGCCAAAAAAAAAAGATTGTGTACGAGATTCTATTAAGAACGCGACGAAAGATTATTTTCCGAACTTCTACAGTGGCCTAATCCCTCGTAAAACGTCAAGAGTGATGAAACGAAAGGATAGCATGTGCGTTAATGTTACGTCGATTCTTTGTTGCAGGCATGGTACGATTACAAACTAAAATGGGATCCGAAGGAATACGGTGGGGTGGAGATGCTGCATGTGCCGTCAGATCACATATGGAGGCCCGATATAGTTTTATACAACAAGTAAGACGATCATTAACCCTTTGAAGCATACACTTTGCTATTACACCATTTTCTGTGAAACTTTGTACACGAGGGTTTCTGGGGTCGCTGATTACGAATCCGTTATCAGATTTTCATAATTCAAAATGACGGATTCAAGATGGCGGAGTTCCAAACTTAAAAGAATAACATCGTTCGACTGTAATTCAACTACGCCAAGAAATATTATTCAGATATTATTAGGACCCGTGGAATCGAAATTCCAGTTGAAAATTCTTATAGAATATAAAAAATAGCGCGCGCGAAGTGGCGGATGCAAAATTGAAATTTGATCATTTCTTAGAATTTATTCATTCCTGGCACTATCCAGAGCTAACGACGCGGACGTGACGAGTCCCTAAATACCGTAATCAAACGGAAATGCTGAAAAACTTAAAAACTTAAAAAATGAACATACTTTGCATCCGTCATTTTTAATTTTGAAAATCTGACGCCAGATTCGTAATGAGCGGCGATTAGATGTGTCCGAGCTATTTTCTTTTTAACATAAGCCATTCAATGTAGACTATTGAAGATTTGAATATTAAATTACTACTTAAAAGACGTACTTACAGTACATAATGTGACAGAAAAATCGCGTGTACGATTATTTCCATCGCTTTGAAATCTCTTTTATGTATATGGTTGAAAGATCGATTAGATCACCGAGACAATTACGGAAAAGAGACATTAGATACTAAAATTATGAACTATAGACTCATCTTTATATTTCGAAAATACACATCACACTAAACTTTCTTCTAAAGAATAAAACATATGTGTGTAATAAATTATACAGAAGCTCCAGAAAAAAAACTGGAGCCAAATTGATACAGTATGTTAAATTAATTAAGTAGATTCTAAAAATTGCTGCGAAACAATGTCTGAAAATGCTTTATTAAAGACTCATCATGTTTCAATAATATAACTGTTCATGTGTAACTTTTACACGCCTTCCTGCCTCAGAAATTGACAGTTATCTCAATCTCTGTTTCGTCCTTTATTTATTCAGGATCATAGGAATCTGTATCGGTTTATTTATTTAGGGTCTTAAGTAACATTGAATAAATAAAAAAGGCCGAGAACGATCGCGAGGAACCGTCGTATGAAACTCATGAGAACAGTTTTGCCATTGAATCATCGATCTCTTATAATTTGTTAATAAAGGATTTTTTGACACGGACACTCGTGTTAACTTTTTCTTTATCTATTCGACCTCTTTAAGGATCAATTTAACCCGAAACTTTTTGGTCATTTCGTAGGGCATAAAGCAATTCCACAAAAGAGACGCTTCCCTTTACCAGAATGAACGTACTTTGCCGAAACAATTATACTTGATTATATTCTTTTAAATAAAATTATGTTCTATCGGGAAAGATGGGAATATGAAGGAATTTACGTTCGACAGCGCCGACGGTAACTTCGAGGTGACGCTGGCGACGAAGGCGACCCTCAACTACACGGGTAGGGTCGAGTGGAAGCCGCCGGCGATTTATAAGTCTTCCTGCGAGATCGACGTCGAATATTTTCCCTTCGACGAGCAGACGTGCGTGATGAAATTCGGCTCGTGGACTTACGACGGCTTCCAGGTGAGAATCGCCTGGTATCTCGCGGATGTTTCGGAAATTTCCTTCCGTTCTCCAAACGTATACGTGATCGATCTGACCGTCGCAGGTCCATTTGTCTCTATTCGCGAGTTAAAAAAAGAATTGACAATTACATATATAGAAAGACACTGCATCTCGCACGTGGAAGTGCACAGTTGCTGCAGGGATATTTATATCGTATTTCCAGAGTAATCTTTTTTTCTTCGCCAATCGAAAGTCCGATGATAAATTATTTAGATCCCTTCCATGCGCTCGAGAAACTTTTTCTTCCGCGATATCTGTTCTTTCCAGAATGATCCGTTCAATTAATCTCGAGGACTCAAAGAGTGAAATTTGTTGGCGCAACGAAATGTCGCTTGCGCACAGGAAAATCTCGCAGGGATCTTGTTAGGTTCAGTCATAAATATTCCGAGAGCGACTTTTCGTGGCATGTTACGACGAGAGTATTATTGTCGCCGGCCGTTAGACACCGCGCGGTGAAAGATCGTATACATCGCTTGTTATCTTTTTTTTTTATTTTATTGAGTAAAATGTCGCTTGTTAGAAGCGCAATCGAGTATAAGTGGGTGGCTGGACGGAACCGAACTTGAAGTAAAAGAGATGAAACGAATTGTCTGACCTAAATATCAACTATTTAATGTTTGAAGAGTGTGCGCTCTCGTTTTATGCCACTGTGCTATCTCTGCTCGTTCCACACATCGGTTTTACACATTGTCAGTCAGTTCTGATTCAAATGCATCACCGACGTAGACTTTTATCGTGATAGAAAAAGCAGAGTTTATACTATACACTTATGCATCGATTGATCGGACGTTAAGCAGCGCGATATCAACAATGCATTGTAAAATTTAGTACTTTACTGTCAAGGTCGATCTTAGACACATCGACGAGGTCCGAGGCAGCAATGTCGTCGACATCGGCGTCGATCTGTCGGAGTTTTATACTTCCGTCGAGTGGGATATACTAGAAGTCCCTGCTGTAAGGTACATACACGTTTTAATAATTTTCTAAATCATTAAGCGTTTGCGTTTCGCTTCCCGCCGGTTGTCTGCAAGTGCAACGATTTCTTATATAATAAATTGGAAACGCTTCGATAACGACATAAACTTTTTCTGCACTTCGGTGCGATGCTACTTAATTAAACATTAATAATAACTTTGTTAATAGTCAGCAATAACTTTGACGCTTTCATTTTCATTAATTCTTCGAGTGAAATCTCACATCGGAACGGTGAGATTCCACTCGAGAAAATTTAGAGTTAATATTATTATAACCAATCCCCAAACAACGCATATGTTTAAAAGACATGCGTGCTGTATGGGTCGCTAAACGAAGTACGCGATCGTGGAAATTGCAGAAACGAAAAGTTTTACACGTGTTGTGACGAGCCTTACCTCGACATCACTTTCAACATCACCATGAGACGGAAGACTCTGTTCTACACCGTTAACCTCATAATACCCTGCATGGGGATATCATTCCTCACGGTGTTGGTGTTTTACTTGCCAAGCGACAGTGGAGAGAAGGTAATTAATTCGTAACTTATCCTTTTCATTTTATTTTATACGTTGCATTGTATATTCCAGTGATGCACATCTTACAAATAGGTACAATATTTATTGGGCGTGATCTTTTTCATCGTACGGAGAAAATTGTTCGTTCTATTGCTACAGATTGTTAAGATTTAATGGAAATGAGATATTTTGTTTCAGAAACGAAGCCAAAACATTAATTTTGGAAATGCAAGAAATTTCTGTTTAAATTAAACCGGCCGTTTTTTTTTGTACTTTTAGGTATTTCAGGGACATTAAATTAGAAATTAATCCCCGTACACTCAAAAATTTTACCGGATTAAGTCAGAATGAAACTTTTAATCTAATAAACGATCAATCAAAAATTTTTTATGTTTTTTAATGGAAAATTTAATTTCTCCGTCAATATAATATGTATAAGAATTTTACAACAAAAATACGTACAGTGAATTATTAAAACTCAATGCAATGAAATTCGCTTAAATTAGAACAGCGCGATTAGTTTACGATTAGATTAGATAAAAGTACAATCCGCGCTATTATAACTTGATCCGCGAATATCTCGAGTGTGTGTATTTTTAAAAAAGTTTAGTTATTTAATCACGTACACGCGCGATAATTAGTCAGGGACAAAAATTAATGTTCGAAATGCAAATATTTTATATTCGATTAGATAAGATTAGAATAATACAATTCATGATTAGATTAGATCAAGATGGAAGTAGTTTATCTCGATTTCCTCCCGATATGTTATGTGTTGGAAGACCTTGAGATGTTTGTTAGGGGCGCAAGCAGAGATTAATCCTCGAAATGCAAGAATTGTATTCGATTAAATCGAAATAGCTCGCGATCGACCCTATCAGAATAGAATAGTATAGCTCGCGCGCCATTACAGTTTTATTCACGATCGATCCTATTGTCCCGATATCGCGTTTCTCTTTATACACCTTCGGAGGGACTTTGTTCCAACGTCGCAGTCGGAAAATTAATTTTGCAGAGACGCAAAGATTTGGCTCGATTAGATCGGAATATTGGAATGTGGCGCAGCTCGCGCGCCATTACGGTTTAATCCGCCGACCGACCTTTTCGCGTTGACGATGTTACGTCTTTAACGCGCCTCGTAAGGTACACTCGACCTCGAGCACCAATATCCACTTACCTGCTTACATAATTCAAACGTACTCTTCCGCTTTGTCACCGCGAATGGTGTACCGAGTTGTCCTCCGCGGCGGATAGGCAAGCGAGAAAAAAAAAGGGAGAGAAGGTCAAATGTGAGGGTGCCGGTCGTTTAGCAATCGGCGAGAATACGCAACGAGGATACGGGGTGAGAAGCAGGAGGACTATACGGTGAAGAGTGCACGTGCTCGGCGCACAGAATCAATGCGAGAGGGACCAAACCCTCTCGAATCGGAACCGATGCACTTTTAAGGTGCAACTCGTATATATACGTTTGTAGCCGTATAAATTTGCGGTCGACAGCGGCGATCCGCACATTATGAAATAGAAACGTACCCGTAAAATTAAAGCTGCGCTTTCAAACCGTTTTAAATCTGCTTCTCTCTCTCAACGCGATATTCTCGAGGTATTTAATTTTCAATGAAATTATTAACTTTCGATTTCACTTGCAAATCTTCCTTCTCGCGTTACAAATAAAGCAATCCGAAACATTGCAATTGTAACACGATGATACAATCTGTAGACCTGTAGATATATTCCGAATGATACACGAGTTTCTAAAAAGCTAAACTAACTTGGAGTTCAAATCCGCGAACACCACTGGCTTTTTTCGGAATTTTCCGAAGGGAAGTGGTAACCACCGAGAGTATCCTGCCGCACATATTTTTTTAGAGGTACAGCCCCTCCAGAGTGGAGGTTTCCTTCGGCAAGATTAGCAACCTACCGAAGATGAAGTAAATGCTCAAAGTACCAGTTCGTTCCGGTACAGAGCTGGTACAGAACGAACTGGATAAAACAGGCTTTCAAGCCTAACACGAGGAAGAAGAAGAACTAGGTTTTAAATAAAATGAGAAAATTGATAAACAACTAGAGTCACATCGGGGCCATTATCATGCAAATCAAATAAGAAACGAGAACTTTTAGATCCGAGCAAGATGCAGGTAACCCAATAATTTTAATCTCGTCGAAATCGTTGGTTGATTTAAAAACACGTGAATTTTCTGACAACAATGATTCCACCTAACGAAACTGTGTTATATGTAACGGCGGGCAGGACAGGTGGAAAGACGGTACATGAATTCACGTATTAGATTAGAGTTAATCGGCTCGGACCGAAAACTTGCTCGTTTCTTCTATTTCTTATATAAAATTAAGTTATAAATTAATTTATCGCCTTCGGTACCAAATTATTATTAAATAAGTAGAATTAATTAGCCTGGTTTCTGAGAGGCTCATGTCTGAAAAGCCAAGAACAAGGTAAATCTAGATTATCAGTTTATATTATGTAGAGGAAAGTCCAGTATTATGCGATAGGATCCTAATATGAGATAGTAAGCTTTCGACGTTCAAATTCAATCACAAATTTTTTCGCAACGATCACACGATTACACGATCTAACGGTGAATTTTTCGCTAAACAGATTTCACTCCAGGGGCAATAGATTCACGGTTGAACCAACGGACGATGCCCATTAATTTAGCGGAAACTCCGCTGTCTCGTATTTGGAGCCTATCTCATAATAGGGGACCTTCCTCTTTCGGTGTAATCTGTTTTTAATATTCAGGAATGTACCCCAGGAGAGTGCAATACATATCTCTGTATCATTCTCGTAGCACATTCTTGTTACGTTTACCGTGAATAATGTATCATAGCGTCACGAGTTTCCTTTTTTTCTCTCGTTCTGCCGTAGGTCAGCTTGTCTATCTCGATTCTATTGTCACTGACTGTGTTCTTCCTTTTGCTGGCCGAGATTATCCCGCCTACGTCGCTCGTGGTACCGCTCCTTGGTAAATTCGTCCTCTTCACTATGATCCTCGACACCTTCAGGTACGGTAAAGAAACATAATCTGCCGACTGCGGAAAGATACTTGTCATAAGTGCGTATACATCGAACGTTAAATCTGCTAAGTTAAATGGCACATTCGCTTTGATATCGAGCCAGTTCAAGATTTTTTAACGCTGCCCTTTTGCCAATGAACTGTTCCTGATTTTACACATTGTTCCACCTGTCGAGAAACGTATGCCACTTTAATTTAAAGCTAGTACAATTGTGAACTATCGTATAACCATCGCCCTGTCCGCCTCTACGCATCCCGATACACTTTTCTCTCGTGCATTGCAGCATATGCGTAACAGTGGTGGTCCTGAATGTGCACTTCCGTTCGCCGCAGACCCACGTAATGTCGCCGTGGGTCCGACGCGTGTTCATCCACGTTCTGCCGAGGCTGCTGGTAATGCGCAGGTATAATACGCCGTCGCAGAGAACCGATTACGATTCCAGGCAAGATATATTCTTCTGGCATTTGTGGCCCGGTCATTGGAACCACGCCAGAGCGAGCATTAGAGCACTCATTAGCGTTGCCCGTGCACGTGACGTTAGTGTCGCGTCGTACCTGCAAGCATTTAGCACCACGGTGCATCACTGCTGCATCGCGCTGCATCGTGAGTGACGTGTCTGCCTATCGTTAGTCGCATCTCTTCCCGCTGTGCATTGTCATACAAATAAAATTCCCTGATTCCCGGCGGGACGTCGAGTCGAGCAGAGACCGCATCGTTCATTTCGACCGGAGATCGCATAGAAAGTACACGCCAGTTGCCGCTCGAATCCCCCTAATTTAAATCTAATCGAATCTCTCTAATCTGAAAAGAGCGTGTACACTTCGGATTGATGCCATTACCAAATTTAACAATCTGGAATTAAGTTGAAGCCCGAGCGCAGAAAGCGGCGGAATCGAACCTCGATGATGTTCCGCGGCTGATAAATTTATTCGGGAATTTTATTTTATGATGCGCAAAACACTTTTTCTTTGCATCGCGCGCGTACAGCCTTCATGTACTTTGTACAACGCGCAATTTTGAACGTAACGCTTCATTGATGCCGCCGTCAAACTGGGCATTATCACATTGCCGCACAGCAACTTCGTGCAGAATTTAGAGCCGCTCCTCATCATACGACGATACTCGAATACATGCATCTCGACACACTCGCAACTCTGCCGAACTAGAAGTTAGGAGCATGTGTAGTCACAATCTCGTTAGAGTATGGCGCGAGTATCGTTAAACCTGACTTTACGAAGCAATAAATTATTCATTGCTGCGCACTAACATAAGCTTAAAGCCATTATAATACGGGCGGCCACTGGATTCTGCTAGTTCTTCAGTTACTCGTAGAGGTACGTCGGCTTCGGAACTATGGATACAAAAACGTGTGATTCGTGCGATCGTAGCGACTGGTCGATCCGCGCACTCGAAGAAATATGGATGTGAATTTAACACCAGCGGTGTGGAATGTAACACCCATCCAGGTGTTTATATAATTCTCAACCTTATCGATGTGAAATCGATTGCCTGGTTAGTGTGGAAAATTCACATTGCAAACGCTGTATAGTATAACCATAGTACAACTAGCAGGTCCACTCTCTGTCGGCCCCTTTGATCTTTGCGGTTCCGATCACGTGGTATTCCGCCATTATTTTGGGCAGCGATCCAGCGACGTATGTGTGTGTGCACGTACTGTAGTCGTGTGTGTGGTAGTGCATCAAAGTTACACTACCACACATACAACTTTTCTCTCACTGGTCTGCCCAGAAGAATGTCGGATGCGCAGAAGGGATCGACGCAAAACGAAACGAATGACGGAGTGGACCTACTGGTTATACTACGGTCAATCTCTGATTGTCAGCGATAAAAAAAATGCGCGAGATGTCAGATACGATCGCACGAATCTCGGCGCATTCGCGAACGCGTGCCCTTCATAGTTCCGGAATCGGGTTGAGGACGAGACAAAACCAATCTCTCCGTGACAGGTAAACCATATTGTGTTTCTGCCACTTCAGGCCGCAGTACCAGATAGATAGCAGGCGTACCATGGCCGGGCATCACGGGCATCGCGTGATGGTCAGAACATGCAACGGTCTCGAACTGCGAGACCCATCACTGTTCGTCGAGTCCTCGGCCTCGGAGCTGGTCGAGTCCTCCGTGCTCTTTCCTAGCGTCGATTCACGGGACGAGCTGCATCCTCGGTGCGTGTCGCCAAGATTACTCTCGGAACACTCCAAGTAACGCGCATATGCGTTACAATTTATGTATTCTATACGGTGCAAAATAACGTGTAATCTATTTTATTATTATTTTTCCGGGCTTCGCACGCGATACTCAGTGTACATCGTATAATTTTAGTTTACGTTTTAATTCGCCTGATCAAAAATACGTCTTACAAGTTCGATAAGGATTATATATACAAAATAGAGCTGGGATTTTTCTTCGAAGATTTTCAATTTCGAAGCTTCGAATCTTCGTAGAAATTAATTCAGTTTTCAAATTTTTCGAAGATTGAAACATTCGAAGTTTGGAATATTCGAAGTCAACTAATGTATTAACAAGATAAAAACAATAACAAATGTTGCAAAATTAATCGTTTTTATTATAACTGTGAACTAATTAAATGCCAACTAATTAATGTCATTACAAAGTATAAAAAAACGTATTTTTCGTCGGACACATATTTGTCCGTTCGCTCAAAAAAACACAATTAAATCGTAGGAAATAAATTTTGGTACGGCTTTTGAAAACTTATATGTTAATGCATTAGTTGACTTCAAATATTTGAAACTTGGAAAATTCGAAACTTTGAATTTTCGAAAAATTTGATATTTGAAGTTTCTTCGTTTCTTCGGATTCTTCGAAGCTTCGAAGTTGCGAAGCTTCGAATAATTAAGACTACTAATACAAAACTAAAACCATAAATTTAAAAAGAATTACTACTTGTACAAGTAATTGTGTCAGTAAAATTCTCCAATGTAAACTTGATTTTATAACGCGATGGCTTTATTGACATATTTTGATTTTGTGAGAAATTCGTATTGGAAACAATAAAAATGAGCGATGTAGATTCAGAGATAAAAAAGATATCAAAAATGACGCTGGCGTGATCACATTCTCATCCTAGAAGTAATTTCTTTTCGTCGCCCTAAAACTTGTGCCCGTGTGGATATCCTTGCGCAACATCGTGCGTGTCTTCGATTTGTTTTTTTAAATTTCTAAGAATATATATATGTATATATATATCCGCGGTCGTCTCCTGTTTTGCGACTTGTGCATTGTCTGCTTAGGGAGTTGGAAGCAGTAAATTTAGGAAGCACGTGCCGCATCCACGGTTCGCCGGCGGCAACGGCCGCGCCGCCGCCACAGCTTCCGACGGAGGAGAGCGTCGACGCTCTCTGCAACACGCTTCACCATTGGCATCACTGCCCAGAGCTATACAAGGCCATCGAAGGCATTCGCTTCATTGCCGATCATACGAAGAGAGAAGAGGACTCTACTAGAGTAATTATAATTTCGCACAATTTGGATACCCGGGGAAAAAAGACATATCCAATTTTATTTAATTGTATCAAAAATGTCAGATATGATCAAATTTGATCAGATTATATTCAAATTTTAATGCATCCATTTATAAATATATCAAATCAGATGTGGTCGGATATTATAGTCAGATGTTTATACCGTTTTATATCTGACCTGACTATATCTGACCACATCTGATTTGTCAGACACGCAAAATGTTCAAATCAAAATGTGGCAATTTCTGTTCTTAAAATGTCGGCGCGTTCCAGAAAGCCGAAGCTTTGTTGCAATTCTCAGTACAATCCTTTTTTCCGCGTGCCCACAAATCTGCCGCTTCGCGTAGCTGTGTAGGGAAACGATACGATACATTCTTGATCGTAGGTCAAGGAAGATTGGAAGTACGTCGCGATGGTGCTCGACAGACTATTCCTCTGGATCTTTACGCTAGCCGTAGTGGTCGGCACGGCCGGGATTATACTGCAGGCGCCGACCTTGTACGACGATCGCATCCCCATCGACGTACGGCTCTCCGAAATCGCCTCCACCACTGCCAAGCCACACATCGTCACGAGCCTCTGAGGGACAATTCTAATTGCATTAATGCCGCGCGCATAAAACACGTATACAAACATATACACGAGAACCTATTACTACTATTGCTACATCGACACACAGGCGACAGGCGAAACGTATTTAAACGTCCGAAAGACTGAAGCCTCGCTAGGTCTTCGACTTTTGCATGAGTGCATGTCGTTGGACTTTGCGCATTCGCGCCGCTGCCGAACGGAGAATTCTTATTATTGTTAGCCCACTAACTGTTAGACTTTTATTTTTTACTGCCAACCGACGTAGGAAGATTATTAATGGCTAATTAAGGATGTGAAAAATAAAGAGTCGCCGTTCCGCAAGCGAAGTGGCAATTAATGGGTTAAAGGCGATGCGTATTCCTCACTTCTCTGTTTCGCCCAACACACAGGATCTGTTAGTCGGAGGACAGAGGTTTGTTAATCAGAAAAATTCCCGCAGCCACACGTGACGGAACGTAAAATATCAATTCATCGCCAATTTTCAAAATTCGAGACCAGGCTGAGTCTCGGCGGTTTCACTCGCGAATTTACTTCTCCCTCGGTTTGAAAACTGTCATATTGCTGTTATAACGAAATAAGCGAAATACGCTTACACATTGATTAATTATGGCCTACAGGGGGTATAGCGATTCGTAATGGCGCGTTGATTTTGTCGTCTTACTAATTGTAAGAATTCCCGAGCCACAGTGGGAGATGAGCTTCCCGCGCGCAGGAGGTGATGGAGGAAGGAGCGACACGACGGAGAATATGTCTCAACCATTTGCACGCTGATCGCGTTTGATTCCGTGTAGCACATGGACGGTGTAAGAATTGTTCACAACATGTAGGTAATACAATCCGATGAACGCGAGGTAGATCTTCCTATTTCTCGAATTAAATCGTGGAAAAATTGAGCGTATCGATGCAAAACGTGCAATTGCAAAGCGAAACGAGGATCGGCTGGTTTTCAAAGAGATCTAAGCGAGGATGTATAGTCACGACACGAAATTCACAGCCGTTATTAACGTATTGGTCCGTACATCTTCGTCTAGATTTATGCAATTATTTTCCGTCTCATCGAAATCCATTTCTTATCCCTTTTCAATGTTTTGTACGCTTGAGATCCAAACTTTATCAAATTTGCATTGCACGCGGAATTTTTTCCTAAAATTTATCCTGAAAATCATGTAATCGTGGGACAATGTGGCATTGTCAATTTTATGATGATTTTCTAAAATTTTACCATACATTCTACTAGTAATTGTACTGTTAGTAAAATGTATGGTAAAATTTGAAAAAAAAAACTCTCCTACAGTTCTTCAAAGTGCCATGTTGTTCCACGGTCGCGTGAACTTCAGGGTAAATTTTGAGAGAAAATTGTCCCCGCGCATATACAATACTTATCTGTTGCCGATCAAGTTAACGTCTGAAAAAGAATGGATTGTGTAGGAGACACCCAATACTGTCCTTATTGCACGTACAAAATAACAAGTTCGAGTAATAAGAAGAGCTCGCTTATTATCATCGGGTTCAGATGCGGCCTGTTTCGCGACTAGGAAAATATAATGAAGTTTAATAAAAGAAATGAATATATAGTAGGTAAAAGGGAGGACAAAACACGTATATACTGTAGAATTAATTCAGAAAGATCTTAATACAGTGCGAGTTCGTGCCAGTTGCGTTTGTAGGGACGCGACAACATCCACCGACGTCACCCTATCCCCCTGTCAGCACGTTGGGGGACACTCTGGACGCACGAGATTCAAGCAATAAATTAATATTGTTCCCGAAAAATATTGTTAAATTGCTCTCACACAAGAGTACACGTACGTCGCGAGCACAAGGCAGGGGGAGGGTAGGAAGTAGCGGCGCGAAAGACACAAGTGGCACAAAGTCGCACGAAGCCTGTTGCAGACTCAGGAACAAAATAAGAGGAACATATTTCCCAACACTACATCGAGCCTGTAACAATGGGGCCATATTTTCACAAAGAACGAAAGTGCGTGTTCTCTCGTATTTAAAGAAAAAAAAATTTTAAAGTAAATGAAAAATGAAATTCTAAATATCTGCATCGATTACACGGCGCAGAAAACGGGTTGGGCCTAAGAGAAATAAAAAAAAAAGAGAAAGAGGGAGTTTAGAGGACTCAACTTTTATTGCTCATAATATATATGTTTGTAATAAGAGTAACTTTCGTAATTGCATTTGTTCCAGCACCATCCCGCACCGGCCGACACGGCGGGCATTTCTTAAACGGATTTGATGGAATACATGATACACGATAACGAGAATTGTTTGACCGTGTTTCCCACCATGATTTTTGCCGTCTTCCTACCCCGATACCATTGAATTCCAATTCGTTTCTCGACACACGGCGGCCCGCCGCCGTTCTTGCCAAAAAAAAAGGAAAAAGGAAACAATAAATACTACGAACGCGATAATTTATTATTAGTGCGACACATGTAATCATGGATTATGAGGTAGTAAATCGCCGTGTTTGATACTTTGTACGTTTCGATATAATTTAGTACGAAAAAAAAAAAAGACTCTTTAGAGCGCGCGTGCCGGCGCGCGATTACAGAATTTTAATTATAGATAGATAATTTACCTGGTGGATGTAAATTGTAAGTTTTATTAATCCTATAATGTATCATTTTGGAATCGAAATATAATAATTTTGTCGATAAATAACATATATGTATAATTTCATTGACATTTCTAAATTACTCATCAGCTTCAAGGTGTACGAAAAACTTTAAGGTTTTCTCCGAAAATTTTCGGAATATTCCGGCAGAAAGAGACAAACATAATCTTCAAGCACTATTATTAATTGATTTTTTTTTCTACGATTCGTATGCAGGACCGTGCAAAGGGGGGGTGCGGCGGATGCACCGCACCAGGGCCCCCAGTGTTAAGGGGCCCCGAAATTCGGTTAAGATATAACTATTTTTATTATTTTCTAGATACTACAAAGCGCGCTTCACGCGCAATTTTTTAATACACCATTAACTTTTACATATTATTTACATAATTAACCTTTCGAGACACAAGTGTTCAAATATGCAATAA